AGATTTTCAGCTGGACAGCAGAACTTGCTCAATATTTTGGGACATTTTGCTTGTCCCTAATAAATGTTTAAGCTGTTAATTTTCTTCCAATTGCATTCCTTTACTTTTCATTGTTGATCTGCTTTTGATGAGATTTTTAGAAATCCCACTAGCATAAGACAGCTTTCCCTGGTCTATCATCTTCAGCTTTTGGAAGTCTGTTCTGAAGCAGCCATGCTGGCTGAGAATTCTGGAGCCCGGTCTAAGTCTTGAGAATGCTGGGTTGGAGAAAGCAGCATAAAAATATTACAGTTCTGTTGGTTAATGAAGTCTAACAATGTCCAGTGCAGAAAAGGATTGAATGTTGCCACATTGCCATGATATCACGTTGATTTCTAACCTACTTATGTGGCTGAAGGATGTGAACATTTCATCTTATGTTGATCTCTTTGTTCATTGTGGGATTTGCTCCTCAGCAGTCTGAAATGTCCATGCCTATGCATTTTACCCATCTGTTATTTGACCTTTCATGTTTGCAGTTTATCTTTCAATATTTAAGAGAAAATTAATGTGAAATAATTTTGCTAGGCAGGCACCTGGCATCTCAATCATTCTTGGAAGTAAATATTTGATTTAAATGGAACTTACTTTAAGAAAATAGGTTTAGGATGTATACTGGATTATATTACTGCAGTCTAGAGACAGTATTATATAATGGGAGATATGGAGGACTATATAATCCAACAACAATAGTCAAATTGTTTTAAAAGATGAAAAAAGGCACTGTTTATGCCTCAGACTTAAATTTGTGTAATTCACAGTGTTTGTGATTTTTTTTTTTACTGCATGAATAATGTGTAATCTGCATGTATGATTGGGAATACCTTTTTCATCTGAGTGCACTCCATTTTGATTTGTTTATCTCTGGGGTGCCTAACAATGAAGATGCCAGTTGTGTGGAGAGGAAGAGATTTGCTGAATCACAAAGAGCAGACTTTATCAGAAAAATCTAACAATGTGCCATGCTTTGCTAAAGTGAGCTAAAGTGTGGCCAGCTGGAACTTTGAAATTTAACTGTAAGCCGCTGGGACTGTTAAATCACAACAGAACTTATCTTTAATGAAGTTTTCTGAAATGGCACATGACTACATAATCATCACAGTATAACTCTTTTTAGCTGTAGTGTAAGGAGAAGGCATAGTAAAGCTTTTGATAAATACTGGGATGTACATCTGAATATCTGAAATTCAGAAGAGATCAGGAAATGCAGATGTCTCTAAAAGACAAATGAAGAAGTGAGGTAACCTGCCTATGACATGGTGCTACCTTCATTCACCCACCCTATCTCCTGGCATCCCCATCTAGTTAATTCTGCAATTTTGGATCATTTTCATTGAACACTATTAATTTTATTTAATTTCTCCTTACATGAAAACATTATTTACATTTTTTTTTCAAACGAGAAGAAAAATGTAGTGAAACTGTCACTAATGTAATCTGGGGTTCTTACATGCATCCTAGTTATGAGGTGGCTGAGGAGAATGTGGAAGTGTCCTGCCTTTCATTTTAAAAACTCTCCAGGAGACAGTAGCCTCACTGGCTTGTTGGACATCTGTTAAATCCCAAGGGAAGACATGAAGAGTTGATGCATCTCAAAGACAGGATGTATGGGCTGCCAGGGAGGTTGCAGTGATGGAGAGATGTGCAACAAGAAAAATCAACAGTGCCCCACCACCTCCGAACACTACTTAGAAATGCTATCCCAGGAAAGTAACTAGAAAAAGAGGAACTTCTTTTGCAGAGGAGATTGTGTTAAATACACTATTATTGTTGCTTGTGTTGAAGATCTCTGTATAGACCATAACTGTTGGCATGGGAAAGCCAGTGGTGGCAGAGATAAAGCTGCATCTTGGGCTCCCATCAGGCTTTAAAAAATGCCTGAAAAAAGTTCAGCTCTTGACCAAATTTATTTTCATTGGATGTTGTGTGGCTAGTTCAGGACAGTGAGGGATGAAAGAACAAATAAAAATAAATATTATTAGCAATCAAGTTCTTTCACAGTTAGAAGGTCATGACTTGTGGTTTGGATGGCATGGATATTTATGGTATGATAAAGTTAAAATTAATGTGGACTTTAAAAATTATTTTATTAGATGCGCTGTATTGAGAATACAGAATAGATATAAACCCAAGTTGTGCCCAAAAACACCTTTATGGATCTCAGCTCAAGAAGCATATTATAGAAGAGAAATGGCAGATAAAGATAAATAGTTGACATACTGGGACTTATTGGAAAACTATCAAGGGGAATTTAAAATCAAATCAAGAGAACAACTAATAGCAGAAAGATACAATTGTCAATGGTTTTCCCATTTCCAATTACTTGAAAGTTTTAAAATGGATAAAAAAACTTATGATATGGAGCAAAGTAAGTCAGAATTTGAAATACAATTGTGTACTGGTGATGAACATGTAACTGCTAAAATGTACAAACTTTTGTTGAAATTTGAAAGAAAGGAAGAACAGGTTAAAGAATGTATGATAAAGTGGGCTAAGAACTTTGATTATAAGATACAGATGGATCAATGGGAAAATAAGTGGTTAAAAGGGTTGAAATTTACATTGTGTTATGATCTCAAAGAGAATTTTTATAAAATGATGTAACATTGGTACATGATGCCAGAAAAATTATCTAGAATGTGTAAAGGCACTTCAAATGCATGTTGGAAATGTGAACAGCATGAAGGGACATTTTATCATGCTTGATGGGAATGTAAAGAAGCTAAAAAAATTTGGATTCAAATACATACTTTGTTACAGAGGATTAAAGATTAATATTCAATTGAAACCAGAACTTTTCCTTTTAGGATTAATGGGCAAACAGTTAGAAAAAAGCCATGAAAGATTGTTTGAATATATGATTACTGTGACAAGATTACTATATGCACAGAAATGGAAAGATTTGGCACTACCCACTATGGAGGAATGGTTGGTGAAGTTGATAGATTTTGCTGAAATGGATAAATTGACTTCTTTGATTAGAGAAAAGACACTATCTACATTTATGGGTGACTGGAAGCTTCTTATGTACTTTTTGCACAAGAATGAAAAAAAATGAACTTGTGATTTATGATTTTGATGATTAGACAGGATAGATTATAGAAAGAAGGGTAATATGATGTCCTATTAGACAGAATGGTTAAAATATATTTCTACTTATAACTGCTGTGAAGAATATCGAAAGCCACTTCTTTATATCTTTTTTCTTTCTTTTCTATTTTTCTTTTTTTCTTTCCTTGCACTCCTTGCTTTTTCTTTGATTTCTTTCTTCTTTCCTCTTCTTTCTTACTTTATATTAGTTTGTGTCAGTTTTTATCTTCTTGTTTCAAAGCTTTAATAAAATTATATTTAAAAAAAACAATTCAAGTTCAGATATCCTGCCAGCTGTATAATTAATATTGATCAATATTACTGTTTTACTGTAATTTCTGTAAATATAAATGACGAAATTGGAATTATCTTAAATTTCACTGAAAATAATCAATGTTTATTTTATTTTACTTCCTTTTTTTAAAAAAATGCTCAAATATTATTTTGTTTCCCACTGAAGTATTCTATCCAACTGCAATAATTTGTTAGGAGAGCTGAGGCTTGGTTAATATGTACCTCAGGTATGACTTCATCCATAGATACCCTGAAAATTGAATTAATATGAACTAGCAAGTATGGGGCTAGTTGATCACCATGCCAATGCAGTAGACAAGTGGCTTAGTTGTCCATTTCTTGGCAATAGAGAAAAGTCTTTACATATGGTTCACCTAGTGGATAATGTCCCTACCAGCCTTAGGGCTAGGTTTAGGATTACAGTCCTTTGTTTAGCAGCTGTAATGGATGGTTTCAGGGCTGTTTCCTGAACCATCCATTATGTTGTTCAATGGACAGTGTAATGACATGACTCATGTCATTATTACCATCCAGTTGAGTATCTGCAATACCTTCTATGGAGAGTAGTCTTTGAAAAGCACTTGCAAACTGCAGTTGGTTCAGAATAAAGCATTGAAGTGGTCCATTTGCTGATTGGTGCTTGTCACCATGTTCACATTACATCTACACGCTAGGCCCTGCGTTGGCTGCTAGTAGGTTTCCAGGTGCCATTCAGAACACTAGTTTTGACTTATAAAGGTCTCCGTAGCTTGATGCTGAGGTCTCTACAGCACTGCCTGTTCCAACCAGAATTAACCATCCTGAATTGACAGTACCCCACTTTTGCGAGGTGAGAGTGCCAGGAAACATGTTTATGTCATGGCACTGACACTTTGGGACAGCTTCCCTCTGGAAATTAGATTGGTCCCTTCAGGGATTACCTTTTCAAAGCTGTCCTGGAAAGCACTCAGAGTTAGTGCTATGTTGGTGTTTATCATGGACATCTTAATTTTCTTACTGTATAGTTTTTATTGCTGCCATTGGGCAAGAGTCTGGGGGAAAGTGGCAGCATACAAGTCAAATAAATAAGTAAACACACAAACTAAATAATGCCATAAATGGCTCAAACACAAATCTTCACTAGCAAGAGATGAGAAAGACATGGGGAAACAAGGCAGTTTATTAGACATTTTGACAGTACAGAGGGCAGACATGGTGCAAAACTTTCTACGGATGATTTTGGAGCTATGTGGTGTTTCTACCTATTCTGTTGAATAACTGAGAGACACCATTTCTTTTGCAACATTTCCAAAGGCCTTTTAAAATTTCTCTATCCAGTCTGCATATCATACTATGATACTAGAGTCCACACAGTTTCGACTTCAATATTTTCATTACACTTAAAACCTAAACAATCCACCATCTCTCTGTCTCTCTTCTGAAATGGCTTTAAAAAATGAGCTCCAAATAGAGTTTAGCAAATTTCTCATAATTCAGTTGGGAAGTAGTGTAACAGAATAAAATTGCTAGAGGTAGTAATACATTTACTTTTACATTCATACTTGAGGGTTAAAGGTTGTTTTTTTTTTTTATTTTAGCCAACAACAACAAGACACAAATCCAAGTCTGCTTAAAAGTTGGAATAGCTCCTCAACTGTTCAGAAAGCTTGTCCCTGGAGTGTTCAGCCACCATTAAGGCAGCTTTTACTGATGTTTGCACCTTTATTTCAAGAAAATGAAATGGCAGCCTGTCTATCACATGATGAGTGAAAGCAGCAGTAAACAGAGACTGAAACAGAAGTACAATACACCAGGGAAGAACCTGCATGGGTTTAATGTATTCCCACCAGAAATCAGAAAAGTCTCTCTGAATCTTATGTATTTATTGTTAAAGATCTACACTGTTTACGTGGATAAAGGCATCTGTGTACTTTATATTTTGTTGTTGCAGAAAGGCATTTCATAAGCATTTGCATTGCAAGTAAGCGCTCCTAGCACTTGCAAACATTGACAGAAATGTAAATGCAGTTGGAGAGTGACTTTGGCATATTCTTAATTATGTTGGCACACTTTTGTATTGATTTTTGCTCTGTTAATTACTAAAGTATCAATATGTTGTAAAATAACATGCATTCATTATCTTTACTTGCAGTCCATTTAAATAATTACAAAAAAACCCAAAACCAACTACTCACACAACACTCAAACACATACACACACACACCCTCTCAGTCAGCAGTACCATTGAACCAGCAATGAACTTACTATTATTTCTTTACTGTGCACACTTAATTAAATAAAGTATCAATCATGTACTGTTCCATGTCCTCTCTCCAATAATGAGCATGCTGAATGTTCCTCTCACTTGGTATTTGTTGAATCTTTGTAAATGACACAGACTTATTGGGAACATCTCTGCACTTTTCTTTGAATGTGATTAAAAATGGTTGTGTTTTGAAATTGGCTGGGATTTTCCCATTTTCCAGAGAGGTTTACCTGATTTAAATTTTCCTTTTCTTTTTTGCAGCTCTAAAGCAGGGGCAAACAACCTAACAGGGCCATCTTCTGGCCTGAGCCTAATTGCCAAAGGTTTTGGTAAACTACCAACCTATTCTTTATGTACCTCTGTTAACAAGAACATGAAAGGGAGAGAGACAAAAGAAATCAGAAGGAAAATGATTCAGGACTTTCGATGAGCGCCATGGCAAGCTAGACATCCCTGCCAAAATGGTGGAGATCGATGGCTGGATGCTGGATCCTGGCCAGTGAAATCTCTCTGGGGAAAAGAGAGATCATGAGATTGCCCATGTGCACTCTGGACAGCCGCTCCTCATGAACAGACTGTAGGAATCAAGGTTTTGCTGTCAGCTTATGAGTCGAGCGGCTGGGAGTTGAGGGATACCATCTAAGCTAACTGTTATAATGTAGCCTTTTATGGACAAAAAACTTGACTGAACCTCATTTCTTAATCACCTTTGGAATTATTTTTTACAGCTTTGGAAATATTAAGATCCTTCAGAATGGCAAGTTTGTATTGCATTCACTGGGAAAATCTCCTTAACAAAAGAAGCTTTAAACACGATTTTTAAGGATTTGGAAAAACATTATTTTTTGGAATAAACAGCAAAAGGGTGTTTAGAATGTTGATTTTGGAAAGTTAAAAATGGACTACACAACCAGATGGGTTTGGAATAAATATTTAAAATTAATTATAAAAATCCTTTCTGTGGGAAACTGCTTGTTTGAATTCTTTGGGGAAAAAAACCCCCAAAAGTTCAATGGGACTTCGAAGGTTGGATACAAGAAGAAAATAAAGATTACAATTAAAGGAGAATAATACTTAAATTAGTTAACAAAGAATGGAGCAAAATACTTTAACAGTGGATACTTTGAAGGATATTTTTGAACAATGGACTCAGAAATTAATTTTAAGAATGTCTGATCCCATAGATAAATGGTGTGTCAAGAAGAACAAGTTATACTGGACAAGACTGAAACTAATTTGAATGTGGATTTAAATATGACAAGTTACAAGAATGATATGGAGCAGGTTGATATACAAATGAAACAGGTTGATGTCTTAATAATTAAAGTGGACATACAAGTATCAAACCAGAAGAGTGATTTGGATAACCTTTTCTTACTGGTTGTAAAAAGAGATCTGTTAAAGTCTTGAAGGATTCAAGAAGGATTCTCTGAGATGGGATAGAAAAAATGAAAAATAAAGCTTTAGGACATTATTTAAAGGGATTAAAAACCAAGATTGTTAAAAGTACAGGGAAGGAATATAGAGTTAGTTTATTTGATCAAGGTTAAAGTAGACATGTAGTTATTTCTGGTAACCCTTAATGGACTTTTCCTGATAAGGAATTAATGATGAGACTTTTGGATTTTGTTTATAGTTAAGAGATGAGATATGGGATGAAGAGAGTGTCTGTTGCATTTTAAAAGATGGTGATAAATTACTAAAATTGTTTATACTTGTGATGAAGGGGGAAGTTACTTCTTTATATACGGTACTTCCTTTTTTCTTTTCTATACTTTTTTCTTTTTATTCTTATATTTCTGTAGTTTGTATTAATTTTTATGTTTTCTGATTGTAATCTTTAATAAAAATTATTATATAAAAAAGAAGGAAAATGATTCAGTGCCTATGCTGATTTTTACCTATAACTCTGCTTCCAATCACCAATGACCTTGACTCCCCTATGATGACTCCAATGGGAATGTGGTTCTCAGAAACAATCTGTAGAGAATCTTCATGTAATGGTCAAGAATTATAACATTGAAGGTAGCAGCTTGACAGATGAAAGTGGCAAATGGAAATTTGGATATAATAATCAAAGCACCTAAAAATGTTAAAGCATATAAGAAAAGAAGTGACAGGCATCCCAATCAGGAGAAACAAAGAAGCACATATACATGCAGCCATTTCAGAGCCTCCAAGTAGTAAAGCACCTCTGAAGTTTCTCATACAAAGTTATTCAGGAGTTTAATCTTCTGGAAAATTATTCCATATTGATTTCTCTCCCAAGGATACTTAGGTGTTTTTTTGTTGTGGTGGTTTTTTAACAGGGAAACATAGGCATAGTCTGGCATAGTCTGTGGTCAGGCCAGGCTAGGCTATTTCCTTCAGCAAATCTGTGGTCTGCCGTACACTCAATGCTCCTCTGTGACTGTGAAAAACTGGGAGAAAATCTGTAAAAAGGGAAGGTAGCTTGTCTGCTATTACCTATCTTCTTGTCAAGGATAATCTCTTGGATTTACTAAGAATAGAGTTAAAAATCTGGCGAGGTAAGGCATTCATATCCTTCTCACCAGATGCAATTTGTGCTATGACCTTACATTACTCAGTACAGCAGCTGTGCATGTTGAAACCTGTCCCTGCGAACAGATTGCATTAGGGGCAGGGTATTTATGCACCCAGAGGGCTGGATATGGGGATTTGACAGAAGATGGGAAGAGGAAAAGGAATTATGAGTGGGGGGAAGAACCTGGTGCCAAACACAAATAGATCTCTCTGTGTGTATGTGCGTGTGTGTGTCTGTGTGTCTATGAGATGGTGATCATTGTTTTGAAACTTACTAATCCAATTGGTTCTGCCCATTTAATGGTTATGTTGCATTAAGCATTGCCTACTGAATATGCAAAGGAAATACTTTGGTAAATGTACAATGCGTATTATATAGATCATTGATCTTCAACAGTGGAACTGTTGAAGCAACTGCCCATTTATCTGTAAAATTGCCATATGTTGAGATCACAGTAGAACAGTTTTACAGAGTCTAGCAAGAGCCTATTTTTATCAGACACTGGTCAGCACAAATCTTTTTGTACTTGGTGAACCTCCACCCCACAATCCAGTATAGTAGTATACAACCTACAATCCCAGGACTGCATATACTATTTTCAAAGTTCTTTGGCTTTTTGAAATTATAATTCTAAGTTATAAATTCTAAGTTTTCAGGTGAGAGAAGAGGCACACTGCATTTAATTAATCAATTAATAACATTTGATAAAATCAAATTGAATTTTGACCTGGCCCTGCCCACATTTGCTAAGGCCAAATATGGCTGTTGGCCTCCAGATGTGTATATTCCTGAAATATAGGAAGCACAAAAGACACTAAGGCTATAACAAACTGCAGAAAATTTAAGAAAAAAATTAAACAAATTTGGTTCCATAAGCAAATTGACTATTGTCCTATGAAAAATATCCAGAGTTATTCAAAGGCTGGAGCATGCTGTCAAATGCTTGTTTTCTGCTTTATACTGTTCGACATTATGTGCTAGATCACATCAGTTCAGGAAACAAACTTGTTGAATGATATTTCATATTTGGGGGCAGAAGGCAATCCCAGAAGGAGCTACAAACCCTTAACAGGAAGATCTATGCATAACATTTTGAGAAAGAAAGGAAGGTTTTATTGACATATTGACATAAAGAAAAATACAAGGCTGCAGAACCAACCAGTGTAGTAATATGATCTTCTAAGTTTGTGCAATACATACAGAGATGCACAGAGTTTTGGATAACACATGAATCAACATCCCTGTGGATTTTGGTTCATGTTGCTCTTGAACCCGTCTGGAACTAGCCCTCCAAACCTCTTTTACTTCTCCTGCTATTAATTGTCCTTTTATCTTTTGTCTTACTTATAAGCTCCAGGACCAACTCCTGCAAGTGCCAGAGCATGTAAACAGTGTAGGGGAGGAAGGGGGCAAGATTGAGCCAAGTAGGAGCAGCAATTACGCGGTAACATTTGGGGAGAAAGAAATAGTGAATGTTATTAGAAAAGTTATGCAGTATTATAGGAGTATGGTAATTAGTTGGAGAGCTTACTTACCTTATTAATAATGAAGCTGGACCTTCCCATTATTGTAATAAGAAAGAAATCTTCAGGGTGGATAACCCAATAGCTTCCTGCCCCCTTAAATTTAGTAAAGGTTGTACCATTTTTAGCTACAATAACTGCAGCCAAATGCTTCTTGCAATTGGAAGATGACTCACATCACAGTATAAACATCCTCCATGGCCAACTCGGTAACTGTTGAGAATTTTGTAACAGGAACTGATCATTTCAGGTCTTGCCATAGTATTTCTATGGGGCTCAAGTCTGGACATATTGAATTTGGTCTTCTTCACCAGTTCTTTTGTAGAGTTGCTTATACATTTGGGATCACTGTCTTATTGCATGAGTCACTTGTGTTACACCTTAGGATGATGGGCAGATGGCCTGATATTGTTCTGTAGAATTGCCTCATATGAAGCAGAATTCATATTTTCTCATGATGACAAGTCATCCAAGTCTTGAGGCTGCAAAGCATTTCCAAACCTTGACATTATCAACTCTAGGCTTCACAGCAGGCATGTTATTATGGAAAGCAGTGTTTGTTTTCTCATGAAATAGCAACATTCATGTAACCTGAAATGTTCTACTTTTGACTTACCTATCCATAGATCTTTCCTCCAGAAATATGTAAAGTGATTCAGGTGTTTCTTGGCAAAGTTGAGATGAGTATAAACGTTATACTTTTCTTAACAAGCGATGTGTCTTGTTAAGTCCAGATAGAAAACCAAAACCATGAGTACTAATACTACCTTTATTGTAAGGTTATAATAACAGAAACTTGTACTCCCCCCCTCCCCGCCTTTACTTTCCATAGAACTAGGGACGTTCCCTTCTGAGATGCTTACTCCACCCCCATTCCTCTTCTGGACTCAGTTTTCATTTATCAGACCATTGTCTAGGCTGTGGTTTTTCCTCCTGCCTCCCAAGGTTATTCTCACAGGCCATTACACAGTGGCTTCTCCTATGAACCCCCTTCTTACCCAATGCTTTTCTGAAGGTGGAGATATGAACACTAATTTTGTTCTCAGGTTCTTTGTGACTTCCTGGATGACTTTATGCTGTGATATTAGAGTTATTTTGACAGATAGACATGCTTGAGAAGATTCACTCTTGCACCAAATGTTCTTCATTTCTCCATTTCAAAATTATGTCTCTGACTTTGGGTCATTGGAGACTCAGAGCTTTAGAAATGTTTTTGTAACCTTTTCCAGATTGATAGGCATCAATGGATTTTTATAGAGTCTTCTCTTTTGAGTAGGACCTGAAGGACCTCTCAAATCTGTTGGTGAGATCTTTACTTCTTGAGGGAAGCCAAAGTTTGTGAGTTTTATATTGGGTAAGGCTGAACCAAATCAGCCCTAAACATTTAGTGAAATATTCATAACTTACCCTAGGTGTCTCTTTAACTAAATTGACTGAATTAGTAGAAAATTACTTTTTTCCATTGGCACATTAATTTTGAATGACTTTGTTTATGAACTAAATGGAAAGTGTGATGTTATTTGTTTATTTAGATTCCCTTTATCCATCAGTAGAATCCACATGAAGTTCTTACTTAACATTACAGTACCTGGCAGAGATATGCAAGAATTCAGAAAATCAGAAATGGAATGAATACTTTTTCACAGAACTGTATACTTAATAGTTCCAAAGATACTATCAATTAAAATATTGCATTGTGATGGTAGTGGTGGTAGTGTTAGTAAAAATAATGTAAGAATTACTTTGAGGCATGTAATTATTTCCTTATTTACTTACTCAATTTATCCCCACCTCAATCCAAAGAGAT